GATGTTTTATTTGATGCAATCTAGTATATAAGGCTAACGTATGTAGTCTCACAGTTTAACATCCTGATGCTTAGATTTCAAACGTAATAATTTGCAGTTGAAAGTAGCAATTAACTTTAGATTATAAATAAAATGTAACATTTGGATCATTTATGTGTCTCAGTGAAATATATTTTTAAGAGAGGAAAAACTTGTCCTTTTGTACAATCCAGCCATTCATCCTTATAGCATAGAAGGCTTTCTTAAAAAAAAACCACAAACACATAAGGTTTAATTGGTTAGGGTTTTTTAATTACTACTTAAAGACTGTGAATGGAACTAAAAATCTAGATTTCTTAAAGAGAGGATGGGCATCCTTCCACCATTTTGAGGTGTAGAAATTTGAAAAACAGTGAGAGAAAATTGCATATTTATTTGTCTGTCAATGATATTCTTAATTATTTGCAACTAAATTCAAAATAAGGCTTTCCACTAAACCATCGTCTTGTAAAGATTTAGACATATGTTTAGTGTCTTAAAATATGCATCCTGTTGATCAAAATGTAGTGCCAGGCAAACGTAGAAACACTTCTGTGGAATTTGGCCTGTCAGTACAAAGGTATTTTTTGCATTCTGGTATTTAATGTCGCGTTTATCACAGCTTAAAGCTTTTCCTGTTCATTAAACTTACTAGCCAGTACTTGATGACTTTCTATACTTTCTAATAAGTAGAGGGATTCCATTGTGAAATGTCAGAATGCATATAACTCAAGCTAATAGACCACAGTCAGTTTTAGAACCAAGTGGAAACTCGATTTTCCTTTTAGGGAGGGAATTCCACTTTTTCAAAAACTGCCTTCCTTAACCTAGTAGGCACTTCATTTAAAAATTATAATAATAACAGAAGTTCAATGGTGACATTTAATTTCAATTGTATAAGCAATAAATTTAACTTCTTCTTTTTGAAATAAAAAAATGAATTATTTCAATAATATTGAATTGAAAAATTTATAAATAAATAAATAAATAAGCAGCACAGTACATGAGTATAGAGAGATTCATTATGGTTACATATCTTTATTTTGGCTTTTCCTAACTTTTTTTATTTTCTCAAATATAGTTTTGGTGATATGGAATTTGCATGATTAGTTGTACTTAGTTTAGTTAATGTTAAAGATTATCAAAAAGTATAGTCAGTATCCTTTAAAATACTGCTTTCCTAAGATAATTGACTCTTAATTTCATTTTATATTTTATTGGAGTGTTATGTTAAAACTGGTAAATTGTCTTTCTTTTATACGTGTGACTTTTAAACCTTGCGTGTACAGAACTTCCTTTGGATTATCAGAGCAAACGAAAATAAATGTTCGGCTTCTTGTCTTAACTAAAAATGAAAATTGTATGTGTCATGGCTTATTTCAAAGTTATGTTTTGTATTTCGATGCTGTATGTTACAGAGCTCATAACCTGTACTATATTGCTGTATTTGTGTCAGAAACAAGTTTTAAATGGGACTTGGAACAAATATGTTTGCCTTTAATGTGGTACATGTGCAAATATTTTTAAAACTAGGGTTAGTGATGATCAGGACGTTAATAATCGGAATAACTGGTACCAGTAATAATCAGAATTTGCATTCGAATTTCAGATTCCCACAGATGTCCTTTTTAATTTTGCTTACCATGACTCCAGAAAACTCCAGTGGTTTCCGTAACACAGTTAGAACATAGTTCCATGTTGATACTGCATTTCAGTTACCAAAAGGCAACTGAATCAAATGACTTATCCCACAGTGGATAATAAGCAAACTCTGAACTTCAGGTGTATCAGAAAGGGTTAGAAAATAGTGCTTATGGCTAGGAAATATTGCTTCAATACCTCAAGGAATGCTCCTCTAAATTCACAATTGAAAAAGTATCTGTGTTTCTACTCGCAGAACAGAGATGAGTTGAAAGAGCCTAAAAAACAAAGCTTCAACAAAATTCAGCCACTGGAATTTGAAATTAGACAAATTTGGTGTAGAAATAAATGGTATGTACTTAACTGACAAAGTGAAGCACTGAAACAATTTACCAAACGTAGATTTTTCCATCCCTAGCAACTTTAAAATCAAAGCTGGAATTTTTTTTCCCCAAAGGAATGTGGACTAGTTCAAACACTTTGGGAAAAGCCTGATGTTTTCAGAAGCCCTACTTAGATGATCATAGCAATACCTTTTGGCCTTATCATGTACAGCTATGAATTCGATAATAAAAATATCATAATAATTACAGAACTTAAATAAAAAATGAGTCCATTCACCATGTTCCCATGAGACTTTGCTTGTGTTTATGAAAATCTTAATTTTAATTCTGCCTGGGCTTGTTTGTTCTCAACAGGTGTCATGCACACTATATGAGGATTGAATGAAGGGAATCAAAGACTGTAGTAGGTTATTACTGATATTGCAGGCATTGTTATTGCAAATATCAGCAGAAAGGCTTATTATCAAGTAATTGACTTACTAAGTCTTTCTCTTGAGTGCACTTATGTCTCTTATGCCAAGAGCTTTGGCCTCAGGCAGCATATGATCCTATCAACAGCACATATATGCACAGAGTTAAAATATTTAAAGGGACATCATCAACTTGAGAATGCTTGAGTGGAAAATCTTGTACTTGCTATTATTTAAAGTTAAAAGTCTTGGAACAGAAAAGGTATATATACACCTTAATTTTTAGCCTCACTTTTTGTACACTGTAACATGTGAATAATTTACTTAATGTTGTTGATGGCAAACGCTCCTTCTAGTGCATGACGTAGCAACAGCAAAGCTTAAGAGAAATGGATAAAACCCAACAAGGGTGGAGAGAGACAAAGCGAGACTCCTGTGCCGGTGTAAGGCCCGTCGACATAACAGGGTGCAAACAGATCTGTGCTCCTCTACCCACATTCAGAACTGAAGAGGTCCAACCCGGAAGTTGACAAGTGTCCCTTTAAGTAGTGCACGAAGTAGTAGTGGTATAGCTGTTTGTTTCTTTATAATCCTTAAATTCTGTTTGTACACATGTTAATATTTCAAAGGTTTTAAAATCAAGAAATAGTTTAATAGCAATTGATGAGTAGACTCTTTACTGTTTTCATAATAAAGTTTTTAAAAAAATCTCAAGTTCAAAGGAATTCAAAGCAGAATTTATCTAGCAGCCTTTCTTACTGAATGCTTGCTTACTGAAATCTGTAAAAGAAAAGATGCAGCCACAACATGCCATGTACACCATCCTTTTGAGGTGGAAAGCACTGTGTTTCACAGGGTGTGTAATCACTTAAGAAGCTTCGGTCTATACGAACTTCACTCCTCTGTTTTAGTGGCAGTTCTCCATCAGTTTTAATGGTGCATATAATTTTTGTGAGGACTCCAACACTCCAACACACTGTCTATTCTCCTGTCTGGTCCAGCTGTTTCTACTCTTCACTTACACTCCACCATATCATAAAACTGTTATTACATGCTGTCCCAAAGTGACTGTATTGTAATACCTATTTCTGCTGATCTTAAAATGGTTTTCCTCGTTATGGTAGCACTCTTTATGGAATTGAAATGTCTGAGATTTAATAGTTGCTTTTTATAAAAAGCATGTGACTTGTTTCATGTCTCGCTTCATTTAACACAGAGAACTAAATAAAATAGTCCTGGTCAATCGAAGAGAGAGAATGTGGTTTTGCATGAATGTGGTAAAAGTTTACTTGCACTGGTGTTTTTATACTCCAGGTGCCAAGGTGTGGTCACCTGGTTACATGAAGCATGCTTTCTCTGAGTGTTTCACATGGAAATAAACTACAATATTAACTTTTTTAGTTAATATGTAACCTTCAATAGAGGCGCCTGGTAGTATGACTGAAATAATTTTTAAAAACTATATTTGGAAATACTAATAATGCAAATCTGTTGCTGGATAGTATAATGTTATGAAAATAGACTGTGCTTTGTATAAAATTATGTTTCTTACCCTTTTTTGGTAAATTACTTTCTTAAGAAGGCAAGAAAAATGTTTAAATTTATTAGCTGAAACTTCCAAGCTTTGGAGTTTGTATGAAGCACGTAGTTCCTGAGTTTTGCACCTAACAAAGTGGCCTGATTTGTCAAGGTAGCTGGTTATGTAATGAGTCAGGAACAACAATGAGGACTCAAAATCACTGAAAAAACAGGCATTAATTTATGTGTCTAGCCTTAGCTGTGCAACTTCAAAAACACTGATACAATTTTTGAAGATAGTTTTAAGACAAATGTGAAATAAACATTACATCTCCGTACATGTTCTATTTGGGCAGACCAATAAGGAGTACATTATATATAAAACACTTTAGCCAAAAAAAAAAGAAAAATCTTAGTCTTTGGAAAAAATTATTCAAAGCACTTTATAAAACAATCGGGACTGATAAGTATTTAACTTTCTGTCTTTTACTTGGGTCTACTGAAGCTTATAGGTATGGTGTTTCTTCATTTTAACCCTTCTTGCTTGGTCTAATAGTGAAGTCATAACGTCATTAATGCCTGTTTCAATTGCTGTTAATGTAATGATGAAAATACTTTATGACTTTTGCACTAGATCAAACAGAAGGAAGAACGTGTTATTTAATGATGTTACAGCATGGTACATCTTTCTAGCTACAAGCAATAAAGACTAGGAAAAAGTACTTGAAAATTGAGTAGCATCTTTCTCAATTGCGTGTGTTTACATTTGTATAGTGCTTTAAATCTTTAAGCACCATGGAAGCAAAGAATTACATTAGGAGTGACAGAATTTTATGTAATCTCAAAGCCTCTTTTTTCGAGTTACTGAAAACGTACCATTCATTAAAAGCCTGTCGTTTGAATATATAAGCACTTATATCTAGAAAAATTGTTAGTATAAAGCTACTAAAATTTTCTAGGTGGAATAATATGGTGCCTGCTATTGAAAGTGTCACTTTTCTGCCTTGTCACCCATTGTGTTTATATAGATGTACAGAAAAAAGTGAGCCTGATTTGTTCTCCTTTGTAGAGCCAGGCCGAGGCCCACTACAAAGGAAGTAAACATGCCAAGAAGGTCAAAGCACTAGAGGCAACGAAAAATAAACCCAAAGTTGGTTCTTCCAAGGACAGCGCAAAGGCTAACACAAGCTGCTCCACCGCGCCAGTCACAGCCAACATCTCTGACAAATCAGGTCAATGAAAACTTTTTGTTGTATACATTCTTTATTTTCTGCTTTTTTGGTGTTGGCATGAGAGGATCTGGTTGCATGATAGTGATCCATGACTTCTGTTTTCTAAACTATTTGCTATCCCTTCTTGTACAAATTGATTGGTTTTGAGATTATCAAAGTGCTTTTTGCTGTCTGTGAAACACCTGGTGCCCCTGAATGCTAAGATCTACTTTTTTTGAACTTGTGAAATTTACTCTTATAAAGTATGGATGTTGTTCATACAACGATAATAATGGATGGGTGTGGGTGGAGGGGCAAGCCTGGGATGTATGTATTTAGCACAAGAAACCTTTGTAAGAAATTTTTCCTTTCTGAATAGGATAATATTGCTACCTACACAGCTACAGAAATGTAGTGAAGCCTCACGACATGATCTCCTGCCTTCCACAGCTCATTAGTGCTTCAACATCACTACTTTTTTTTTTTTCCCCCCCTATTAGTAATTTGAGGAAGATCAGTAACTCTAATTGCAGTGGAGTTGCTTGAGTCTCTTTCTGCTCTGTCAGTGTTGTGTTACTGAATGAAATGGGAGAATTTCCTGAACTTGCTGAAGGTCTGAAATGCTGTACTTGTTATCCAGGAGAAAGCACCTACTGTAGGTTACCCAACTGTTGGTCTAATAGACTGCTTCTGATAAATTTGCTTCTGCCTTTGTAGCCATTTATTATACTCTTCACCAGAGCTGAGCTTGCCTCAGATGCCATAAGGTGAATGACACAGACCCCCACCCCTCCGCACAATAAAAAATTCCGTGTCAGTGGCTATGTGTCATCCTGCTCTCTCCACAGCAGCACCAAAACTGACCTTGTCTGGGTCCTTAGCAGTGACAATGGGTGCCAAATTTTGTGTTGATTCACCTAGCAAATCATATTTTAGGTTTGAGGGAGATAACATGACTCCAAGTAGCGTCTTCAGGTAAACAAGCCATGTTACTATAAAAAGGTGCAAACTAATATTGATCTAAATAAAATGTGGACTATTGAATGGAAAGAGTTTTTAAATACTTGATAAATGTTTTACTCTCTGAAATAGCAAAAATAGCTTTTGTTAAAATAGCTTACTGCTTCAGATGTACACTGTAAGAACTCAGACAACTGCTGAAGTAACATACCAGTTCAAACTTCAGGATTTAACATGTCAAGAATACATTCTGTGATAATGTAATTGAATAATGCTCTCCCCTGCCTATGCCAAAGGCCAAGGGGGAAATAAGAAAAGCTTCAACATCTTTTACGAATTCCATCATTTCTTCCATTAGTCTGGATCTGTCATGTGTTTTCTTTGCCAGACTATGAGATCTGTTCCTGACTTAATTTTCTTCTTCCCTGTGCAATGTGCTTAAAATCATTCACATATCTACATTCAGTTTTTGGTAAAATAATCTAACCAATGACAAGGGAAACCTGCTCTTAATATTTTTATATTGCCCTTTTTATGTTTTGACAGTGTGTTGGTTTATGCTATTAATTAGTCCGCACAAATTAGATTACCATCTGTGTCTGTTGGATTATACCACTGCAAGCATTTCTACATTAAAAATCAATCACAGTGGCAATTTAGTTAAACACTTTCTTCACTTTAGGAGAGCAGTGGGATTCTATGTGAAGGGGAAGCTCCTCCAGAGCCTGTTCCTGCTCTACAGGAGATCGGGGGTGGGATATTTGGAAAGACAAAATCCCGAACCTGGAGTGGCAAATTCTCTGTATATGCAGGGAATGTTGGTCACAGAGGTGGGGAACGGCTTGGAGACTGGGGTTTTTACCAGGGGATGGACTTGAAACCAAACCATGATTTTGTTCAGGTACACTTTCACTTACAGAGGCGATTATTCATCTGTTCTTTAACATATGTTTAGCTCTTTAACTTAATGCTTGTTGCAGCTAGAACAATCACTTTGTCACTTCTGGGAATCAGTGGCAGGGGAAGGGGGTTGCTGTGGAGCAAATTAACCGATACTATTTTTTCTGAGTATTTTAACACAGCTTTCGTTCTCTGAGAAATGGATAATTACTATATATTAACTGTATAGGTATATTTTAGTTTTCTTTAAGAGATTTCTTATTCTGAGAGTTTCAGTTCATGTGTGTATTTGTGGCCTTCATTTTTCTATCCCGATTTCCTGAGGAAATGAGACTTACGGTCATATCATCTGTCCCTATCACTGTTATTGTCTGGCCATGTCTTCACAACTTTGACTGTATTGCCTAGTGCCAAAAAAATTCGTGAGGGGAATAGGTTTGCATGAAGCTCCTGTAAGTTTGATGAAAATTGGCACCTGGGTAGAGGAGAAGCCTCAACTTATGGCCTGTCCTGAGAGATGCTGCCATGTGAGCCTTGTTTTGCTTGGTCTGCTGACTGGTCAGGCACTATGTCTGCCTTCAGGACAGGGGATTTGAGAGTGTATTATACGTGGTGTAGGTCTGAAAAAATTGCATTAGAAGGACATAGAGTAGGGGCTAAATGGAATCAAGAAAGTGAGTTAAATTCCACCACTTGTGGAGCTGTTGTTTAACCTTTGTGCTTTAGAATAGTGCTGAGTTCCTGAGAAACGTTCATCAAAAAATAAGTCATTCCTAGTGTCCTTTTCTTGAGTATGGAAGAGGAGATTGAGAAGCTAAACACAGAAGACAGTTTTAAGTTCTTGTGTTCCTTTGTTATCCACTGTACTTCCAGTGGTATTGGTGCAGAATGGGTAGGGAGTATTATAGTAAACTGATAAAATGAATTTACTATTCTCTTATGTAGGTCTGCTAATAAAAGGACACAACAGGCACAACTAGCAGCCTTTTTGATATGCTGTTATTTTGAGTGACGTAATGATGAATGATCTGGAGTTCTCCACACTGAACAGTTGCTATATATTGGACTAAAATGACAAGTTTTCTACAGAGCCATGTCTTCTGTAGGTCAGACATATCATGAGTTCCAAAACACTTATTTGTCAGAAGTCACTATTGTAGTAGTAACAAGAAAAATAATTTCACTGTTAGCGCAGCTTGTGTGATTAATCTATCAAAGGCAAAATCCACATTCATCCAGTCCTTATTTTTCAAAACTCATGATGCAGTGGTCTCTCTACAGCTGTTCCTCTCAACTTCAGAAGTGTGGCTGCTGGTAGAGCTGCAAAAGTTAAATTAATCTTTAAGGTCTTTTGGGAAGTTTCCAGAAGAACGTGGGCTCCTGCAGACAAAAGTGGCCTCAGTCAAATGGAAAGGGGTGACTCTGGACCTCGATCTGAGCATGATGATGCCCAAGTTCTGAGAAAGTGGTCTTCCCTGATGATGTTAATAATACATTATGACTTAGAAATTGCATTTGTAAATTGATCAGCAAACATGTAATGATAAGGCCATAGTACCATAATGCTGAGTTGACTGAAAACTCGGGTAAGTGGATATTGATGGGATTGGATTGCACAAGTTTTGCACCATAACATGATTAGACTACTATGTGATCTTATTTTCTAAGCACACAACTCTTCACCATTTAGAAAATACTTGGTTATTAGTACTTGTAAGTAACACCATCCTATCCTATTCGTTATTTCTGCAGACAGGAAGAAAATGCCACAGATGATGTGTGACAAGATTGTTGTTCCTGTACCTCCTGTTGGGTCATGTCACCTTGTCCTGATGGGTATTAGCAGATTGGAAGTGTCCACAGAGGACCCTTTCATAACCTGTGTCCCACACAGTTTATCTAACCACCCAGGAAAAGTGTAGTAATGGCTATAGAACAGTTTCATATGCTAGAAAATCACTACTGTGACACTGCAAGCTTTTTTGTAGCTGCTTTGAGATATGGTTACAGAACAGCAGTGTTAACAGCACTGGGAGCTGCTCTTTCACATGGGGCAAAGGATTCCTTTCCCTCCCTGTGGAAGCCCAGGATTTTCAGGATGGCTTCACGCAGAAGTATACATCTATGTATGGCATATATGTATGGCATTGCTTTAGAACAGGGAAGGGGTAGCAACCAGTACATAACACAGTTCAGAATATTGAGAGTGCGTTTTAAATATAGCTCTGAGAATGCAATAGAAGACGGTGTCTGTGATCCCAGGTTAGCATAGTCTGGATGCTCACAGTGATGAGTCCTTTAGGAATGCATATGATAATAGCTGGATTGAAATGACACTGTTTACTTATCAAGCAAAGAGGAATTCTTTGATCATACTTCCAAATCAAAATAAATAGTTCAAAATGAAGCAGACAGATGATGTGATATCACCTTATTTGCATTTTGCTTTGATATAAAAATCAGGGAGTAAGTGCATCTGTTTTTAAACTACTCAGAAGAGTCAAAACCAGGTTTCAGATTACAGAGGTAAGGTCACTTTTTTTCTGTCTTTGATCCATCCAGTATATGCTCTATTTCCCTTGTGCCAGTGAGAGGTGTTTGTGAAATGATAGGTATGGGCATCTCAAGTTTAGTCCTCGTTCAAATAAGATCAGAAAGCTCTGCTACTTGGGACTTAGTAGGTGCAGATAAACCCTTTGGATTCTTTATGAAAACTCCTTTTTGTTCAGCTGGTATAGGGATAGGCAATATTACACACCAAACTAGGCCAAATTCTAGACCCTGTTTCAAATCCTGGCCCCTCTTAGCACTGCTTTGTTCTGTTGTCGTGTCTCAGGGCAGCTCAACAAGCAGTTCACAGGGTCACGGTGGTGATATTCCAGCATATGAGCAGTCCTACGCTCATCTGCTATGTATGGCAAGGACAGCAGGAAGGGCATGCAACTGGGAAGTTGTTTGCCATCTTCTCGATCCTAAGTGGGCACTGTAAGAGTTATTCCAGTCATTACAGCTCTGTAACTAAAACCAGCTGGAGGCTGTTCTGAGGAACGTTGTCATACTAGAGTGCAGTACAGTGTCTGCACCAAATGGGCTAGCTCACATTTTGAAAACAGCCTAGAAATGTTGATGAACCTAATAAATGCCACTTGATTTCAGGCAGA